AAATTTTTTTTTTTTTTTTTTTTTTTTTTTTTTTTGTACCATGGATCAAACTCAGAACCTTGTGCTTTCAAGGAAGGTGGTGGAACCACTGAGCTAAATCCCCAACCCAGTAAATCACTAAATTAATGAATATTTTTTACTTTAGTGAACTCCCCAAAAAAGGCCTAGGGAATCTGATAAGCTCCTCTTATCAGAAGCCAAACTGAAACAGTTCTCCCTCCCCGGTTCACAGGGTTACTTCCATAGTCAGGAATTTGAAGTTTATCTCATTGTACGCATTCTCTGATTGATGGGTCATACTTTAGACAAAACACAAGCATAAGATACCCATTCCTTACTCATTGAATCAATCAGAAATTGTTAAGATTAAAATGTGTGATGCAACAAATATAGCTCTGAGGCTCCAACGTAAAAGAAGAACCCAATACTTACCTCCTGAACTTATGACACTTATTTAATTAGGTTGTTTTACGGTTCTTTGAAACATGGATTAGCAGTTCCATGCACAATGCTTATTTTTTTACCACAGGTATGGCAAACAAGCCTCTTCAAGCCATTTTGAAGAAAGCCCAGGGCCCATCTGGCTGGATGATGTGAGCTGCTCAGGAAAGGAAACGAGTTTTCTTCAGTGTTCCAGGAGACAATGGGGAAAGCATGACTGCAGCCACCAGGAAGACGTGGGCATCACCTGTTACCCTGGCAGCAATGGGTATAAACCCTCCCTGGGTGAGGACTGGCCGCAGCTCTTGAGTATCCGTAATTCAGCAGTCACCACATCTGTAGCTGTTATCTGGAATGTGAAGCATTTCTCATCCTTGGCTCTCTAAGAAAAATAATTTTTTGAGTCCCTTAATGTTATGAAATTTCTACCCCTAAATTTATTTTTTGTTACTTAGGAGCTCTTTTCACTAAGAAAATTTGCATCACATGTACCTGAAAGGTAGAAGAAGCAGCAATGTCCATTCCACTACTTCTTGGTCTCTTAATCTGATATTTATCTTGAATTCTAATGAGCTATTTGGGACAGGACCAAAAAAGTATTTTAAAAAATTCTCTTCCCCCTGTCTTATGATTTATTTTTTTCTAGTTTTGAGAACTGTTCAGTCCTTGGTCACTGGCTGTTGATGCTTTTCGGATTCCTCAGTGGGCTTCTAAGTGGATTTATAGGAGTTAAGAGCTCACTCACCTTTCTAAGATATGCTGTTGTCTTAGTTATTTTTCAAAATACACAACACCCAAAGTTAAAAGAGGAAGGATCTATTTGGCTCACAGTTCATAGAGCTTTCAGTCCACAGTTGGCTGACTTCATCATGGCCTGGCAGAGGGGCTATCACAGAGGAAAATAGTCCGTGGCAAGCAGGCAAATGAGAGCGCATTAGATCTCTTTCTGTCCGCTATATTCTATGCAGGCTGCCCTCCCTAGGGTATGTGTAGCACTCACACCTTCAATTCTAGCCAGAATTATGCCAAACCAATTAGTGGACTGATTTAGTAACCACCCTTCCTTGATCCCAGCACCACATGCTCTAGATCCAGCCACCTCTGAAAAGCACCCCTCCATAACTGCATGAGCCTTTGGGTGGACATCTGGACACAAGTCACAACAGCTGTTATCTAGAAACACATCAGGAACTACCTTCCATTACAAATTTCTTAAAACTTGTAGTTGGATAAAGGATTCCTAGCAGTCTTGAAATAATTATGGATAAAGATTCTCTTACAAAACATTCTTTTTTTCTCTCATTGAGTTTATTGGTACCTTTTAAGTATACAGTATATTTACATTCATCATTCGGATCTTGTACCTTTACATGACAGGTCTTGGTTCTCATTTTTTCGCCTTGTCCCTGCCCTCCCTTCACCTCCTCCTTTCCATTTACAAATACTTTAATTCCATTTTTTCACTTTCTCATATTTTTTTCTTTTCCTTTATTTCCTTTCCCCTACCCTTCCCACTTCCCCTATACCTTTAGCCCTTTTCTTTTTTTTTTTTTTTTTTTTTTTTTTTTTTTTTGGTACTGGGGATTGAACTCGGGTCTTTGTTCTTGCCAGGCAGGCCGCCAAACTGGTGAGCTAAATCCCCGGCCCTTTAGGCCTTTTCTTCCTATTTCACATTGTCGATTATACCATTAGGATGTTATGTACAATTATAGTTTTTCACACCAGAGAAACTATTCAGTATTTACACATGTGTGACTTATTTATTTCACTTAAGCGTATATCCTCAATATGCATCCATTTTCCTATGAACGACTCCAATTTCTCATTGTTTATGCTTGAGTAGTATTCCATTTTATAAGAAACCACATCTTCTTTATCCAGTCTCCAAATGATGGGCAAATGGGCTGTTTCCAAGTTTTAGCTATTGTGAATTGTGCCGCTATAAACATGGGTATGCATATATCACTGTAATATGATTCTTTTCATTTTTTTGGAAAGATACCCAGCAGAGCGATGGCTGGGTCAAATGGAACCTCTAATCCTATTTCTTTGAGGTATCTCCATATTAATTTCCACAGTGGTTGTACCAGTCTGCACTCCCACAAACATGGAAAAGGGTTCCTTTCTCCCCACAACCCCACTAACATTTGTTATTGATTGATTTCTTGATAGCAGCCATTCTTTGTGGGGTGAGGTGGAATCTCAGTGTTGTTTTCATCTGCATCTCTCAAATGATCAGTGATGTGCAGCATTTTTTTCATATATTCATTTGATGTTTTACTTCTTTGTCTGAGAAATGTCTGTTCATTTCAGATACCCATTTTTTTTATCGGGTCTTTTTATTTGGAGGCTGATTTTTTTAGAGTTCTTTATATATTCTAGATAAGAGTCCTTTGTCTGAGGAGCAGCTGGTAAAAATTTTTTCCCACATTGTAGGTTGTTTCTTAGTTCTGTTGATGTTTCCTTTTGCAGTGCGGAAGCTTTTTAATAAGATGAGATCCCAGATGTTGATTCTTTCTGCTAGTTCCTGTGGTACTAAGGATTTGTTCATGAAGTCTTTTCCTATGCCAATGTCTTTAAGAGTTCTGCCAAACTTATCTTCCAGCAAATTTAGTGACTCTTTTTTAATATTTAGATCTTTAATCCACTTGGATTTTGGTTTAGTGCATGGTGAAAGATAAGGATATGGTTTTAATCTTTGGCAGGTTGAGATCCAGTTTTTCCAACACCATTTATTAAAGAGGCTGTCTTTCCTCCACTGAGGATAGTTGGCTCCTTTGTCAAAGACGAGGTAGCTGAGTATATCTGGAGTTGTTTCTGTATCTGCCAATCTATTCCACTGATCCTCAGGTCTGCTTCTTTGCCAGTACCATGCTGTTTTTATCACAGTGGCTTTGTAGTATAGTTTCAAGTTGGGAATTGTTATACACACTGCCATCTCTCTGTTGCCTAGGATGGCCTTTGCTGTTCTAGGTCTCTTATGGTTCTAAATGAATTTTTGGATTCTTTTTTCTAGTTCTGTAAAATATCGTGTTGGAATTTAAATCTGCATTGCATTGAATCTGTATAGTAGTTTTAGTAGTATGGCCATTTTCACTATGTTGATTTTTCCTTACCCAGGAGTAGGGGATATCTTTCCATTTTCTTATATCCTCTTCAATCTCTTTTTTCAGAGTACTGTAGTTTTCAGTGTAGAGGTCTTTTGCTTCTTTCATTAGATTGATTCCTAGATACTTCATTTTTTTGGATGCTACTGTTAAAGGAATCATTTCCCTAATTTGTCTCTCAGTGAGACTGTTATTTGTGTACAAGAAGCCGATTGATTTTTGAGTGTTGAACTTATATCCAGCTACTCTGCTGAAAGTGTCAATTAAGTTTAGAAGTCTTTTGGCGGAGTTTTTTGGGTCTTCAATGTAGAGTATCATATCATCTGTGAATAATGACAGTTTAACTTCTTCCTTTCTTATCTTTATTGCTTTAATTTCTTTCTCTTATCTAATTGCTGTGGCTAAGGTTTCCAGAACTATATTGAAGAGGAGTGGTGATGGTGGACATCCTTGTCTTGTTCCTGATTTTAACATGAAGGTTTTCAGTTTTTGGCCCTTTAATATGATATTGGCTATTGGTTTTTCATAGATAGTCTTTATTAAGTTGAGATATAGACCAACTATTCCAATTTACATTCTTGACAAGTTCTTAATATTTGAATAGGAGGGCAGAATACATATAGGAATGAAAAAATATAGAGGGAAATATTCAAAATACTTAGTAAGACCCTATCAAATCTCTATTATATGTCTTTACATGCATTTTTGTGGTTTAAATAGATCTTAAAGTAGTCATTTTGTGGTCATTTTTCACATCAGCATTGAATCAATTCCTTTTGCATCTTCCTATTTTGAGATTGTAATCCTGAAATTCCAAACACAAAACAATTAAAACTTGTTGAAGCCCAGATTATTAACCACATTTCACACTTTCAAATTATCAAAGTATGTTTACGCTCATGTCATTTATTTTGAACTGTGGGCTCATGGTGCCTCAGTGGGCTAATCTAGTATTATTTAAAGCAGCAATATAATTTTTCACTTATTTTTTTGTGGATCATATTTCCAATTTTATTTCTTTTCATTTGTTCCTTTTTTTCTTGGTCTCTTCTTATGGAGCATTTATAATCCTTCCAGGATTATCTGATGAATGGTTACATGTGGTTAATGGGAATAGAATCAGTTTGCTAGAAATGGATCTTCTTGATCCCTGGTAACAGGCATTTGGATTGTGGAGTGAGCTTTCCAGCCATGTTCTGTCAGTACTTGTAATTTAAAAAATGATGTGATCTGAGTTCTCCAGAGGCCTCTTCTATACATCATACAATTAGGATAACTAATTTGTTCACTTCACCTGAAAATTGTTTTAATTCTAAGATTCAATAAATGTTTCTTTAAATAATTAAAAAGCCAAGGGCAATAATTATTAATAAATTATGTGATCATTATTATGAATCTCATTGGTTCTAATCTCAGTAATGTATCTATTAACTAAAGTCATTTGTTCAAAGAATATTATGGCTGAGCCAAGTATCCTTTGGGATAGAATAATATTATCATTTATTCATTCAAATAGATCATTCACTACCCTCCGACTTATTAAAAATACTGTATACTGAAAAGAGAAGTTATAGTTGAAGAAGGTCAAGAAATAATAATATAAAAAGGAGATTTTTTTACTTCTTTGGGACTTGTAGTCTCCCCAAACATTGTATATTTATTTAAGATTTTAGAAATAGAATATGTTGTATAGAATTATTATCACTGTGCTAACAAAAAGGATTTAAGCAATGAGAGGCTATGAATTTTTATTTTTAGGTCTCAAAATTAAGTATTTCATAGTTTGATCAAACATTGATGCATTAAAGTGATTAAGTGAAACTAAAGTAAAATACAGTTCATATCACATGGGACTATGAAAAATTGTAATATATTCCAGAAGATTTGTTAAATTGTGCATGCTTAAAACAGAAAACACAATATGACTGTAGTTTATTAGCATTGCATATTTTATAAAGAACTAGAAATCAGAAAAATCTGAACTTTCCAAACTCAAATAATTAATACATATGTAAAGATATACAAATACTAATTACCCTGATTTGATCATCACACATTGTAATCATGTATAAAATCAGGACATCTCTTTCATAAATATGTATAATTAGGAAGAGTCACTTGAAAAAGTTGAAAGAAGAAAAGGTATGGTACATTGATGTTTGTTGCATTCACAAGTCCATGAAGGAAATACAGTAGGCTTGCTTAGTCAGACACAGAAGGGTGTTTTGTAGATGTGGGAGAGGGTATGAAGTGAATAACTTTTGTCATCCCATTTCCCTTCAAGAATTAAAAATCTAATGATTTTATAAAATGGCTAAAATTAGTAACAGAACTATCTTATGCATTATTTTTACAAAGCATGCTATTTAGCCTAAAATACTGTATCATTTAATTTTTACAGTATATAAGAGCCTACCAAGATGAAACATGGAGAACTAATTCCATGTACCTGTATATTGTCTTAATTTTGAAGCAAAGATTCAGAAGATTAGAACTCCGAAATTTTAGGGAGAGTTTGATCAGTTTGAATTTGGTCTTTAATGATCACTTTTCCCCCTACTTCTCTTGTGAAGAAATCCTAAATTAAAAATACATTAATGAGAAATGTGTTGTTTCAAATATTGTTTCTTATGTTTTGTGACATAGCTAAAATGCCAATATTTTTTAAAACTAGTAATAAGGAGTGCATAGAACTGACACTCACTAAACATTTGTTGGTTTTGACTTTGCTCTATGATGCTTTTCTACTGCTTGTCCTGTGAAGTGAACCTGATCTAGCACAGAAACTCTGCAAGCAACAAAGAATAGCGAAGTAAAAATAAGTCTGGGAAATAAACATAGGATGTGTCCATTTTGCTAACAGTTTTGTTTTAGTTAATAAGGTCAATTCAGTAACCATGTGTTGGCTTAAACAAAAATTAGGTGATGTTTTGTTCATTAGCTGCATGCGTCCACCTTCAGGTAATTTTACTATACATATAAGTTAGCTATCATGAAATAATTTTGTTTGATAGTGTCATTCATTCATTCATTTATTCCTTCAACAAACAGCGATGCATGCCCTCTATGTGCCAGGTGTTATTCAAATGTTAGGGATGCAAACTTGGGCAAGGTGAGCACTTTGCTCTTAGAGCTCCAAAAGACAGACAAAGTAGGTACAAATGTTTATTGATATCTCTTCTCTCAAGAACAAGTGTGTTCTACTGATTATATAGCCAATTTAAAATAATAATTATATTTTGAGGTCTCTTATGCTTTAGCATAAGTTTGCTTGCTTTGACTTTTCTAATACTTTTGAATCATCACTTAGGTTTTCCTGTAAGACTTATGGATGGAGAAAATAAAAAAGAAGGACGAGTGGAGGTTTTTATCAGTGGACAGTGGGGAACAGTTTGTGATGACGGATGGACTGATAAGGATGCAGCTGTGATCTGTCGACAGCTTGGTTATAAGTAAGGAAAACAATTATTTGCCATGGTTGTGTGATAAAAATTTGTTTTTTAAGGCTTATTCCAATGAGTTACTCCTTATGCAATATTAGCTTTTTTCATTTAGTTAAAATACTTTCAGCTTACTAGTGTGATTCAGAAGTATAAAGAAGTACTGAGTCTAGTCAAAATTCTCTGTCTTTCAAGAAACATGTCACATAAGAACTGTAGCTTTTTAATCTAATAAAATAGTTTAATAACTGGGGCTCTTTGTAATACTGCTTCAGTCAGCCAAAAGGTGGTAACCTTTCCCCTATGAGTTATGGTTCAACACTGTAACTTTAAGGGAGTGTAGATTATGGAAATTACAGTAGCTCTTATTATTCAGTGGTAGCTACATTCTAGAAAGTTGCTGTGAACACAGAATTAGCAAGTACTGACCATTGCTTGGAGGGATAAAGTTAGTGTTCTGCCTTCTTATTTTAGATCTCATGTTCTTCTTTGCATGCTATTTAGTGTTTTTTATGTTCTTTGCATCCCATGAAGTGTGTATGTGTGCACATGCACGTGTGTGATTATTTCTTTTGGAAACAGTCCTCAAGCATAGTGTTGAAGTGCTGTATAGTGTTCCTTAGCACAAGAAGGCTAGAATGTGCCTTATGGAGAAAATATATGTATTCAAACTTGAATTAGAGTGAGAAGCCACAGCACTAAGTAGACTGTGAAAAGGACACTTGTGTACAGTTTGAAACAAGAAAAAAGGAAGATTACAGAAAGAAACAGAAGGCAGGTCATCTCCTCGTCGGAACTCAGCTGAGTTACAATTCTTCTGACCTTGAATGTGTCCATGAATGATAGCGAAATAACTCTAGGTTTTAATTTTGGAGTTACACAAATGTGGGAAAGCTACAACTTTTATGAGATTTGAGCTAATATACGTAATTGCCTAGCTCATAGTAAGAAACTAATAATAGTTTGAAATTTAAAGTATATCCATAATTGTAAATCTATCTGTACTGTCTTAAACATTGATCAATTGGTTATTTCTAGATAAAATTTTCTGTTCTAATAAAAGTGCAAATATTTTCAGTAAACTTTTAATTCAAATTTTGTTTCCGACAGCTCAGATACTATTTCATTTTATGGTTCAATTTTAGAGCTAGTTTCAATTATAGTTATCTTAGGGCTAATTTGGTATAGATTTTCAGTTTCCAAAATATGGAATTGTTGGGCCAGGGATTTAGCTCAGTGGTGCCCCTGCCTGTCTTGCAAGCACAAGGTCCTGAATTTAATCCTCGGTATAAAACAACAACAACAACAACAATAAAAACAAAAAACAGAATAGTTGAGAGAGGAATGCAGGAGTAGTTTACATTAGATGGACAGGTGAATTTAGTCAGTGATTTATCTTACATTTGTTCTATTAGCTCTTTATTACTCCTTCATCCCTTAAAAAATACCCTTTTTCTTATTTTACATTCCAGTACATTTCTTTTCCCAAAATTGGACTGGTTGCTTGGCCATAGTTTTGTTCTTTTAGTAGTGATTCAAGGAACCTAGTTTTACCTTTGGAAATATGAAGGGAAAGATAGTCATCGAAGTTGATTCTAAGTTGTGTTTTTCAGTCAAGTTTAAAGCAAGATGTTACTATTCATATTTATTAATGCATTATTTCTTTCTATGTTTTTATTGCCTTTTTGGGGGGAGAGGTCATCATTTAGTCCATTTAACATTCAATTCAAAAGTGAATTTAGTCTGATGTTAGCTTCACTGTAAGAAAAAAAAAAGGATAACAAGTGAATATATAGAGAAATTGGAACCCTTGTACACTGCGGTAGGGATGTAGATTGGTATAGTCACAATGCAAAAGAGTATGAAGCTCTTTACATTTATATTTATATTTATAAACACATATGTGATTAGAGCAGAGGATCTTTTTCTCTATGCCTGTTTAATAATGCATTGATTTCTAGAAATCACTGAGAAAATTTTGTTGTTAAAGACTTGTTATGGAAGTTCTAGTGATCTGCCCATTAGCCAGCTACATCATACTTGAGGATTAGTCCTTGGAAACACAGAATCAAAATAACATTAGAACATGAGACAGCATTCTCATAATGGGGAAAACAGAAATGAGATAATAAAACCAGGAAGCATAAATGGGAAGCAATGTGATATTCTTGAAGCGAGCAGCTAAGTAAAAGGCATTAGTTAATGATACATTACTTAATGTCTGACAAAGTCTAGCATCGTTTTTATGGGATGACACAGAATGTGTTGAGATCAGTTAAATTTATTGAAATAGATTAAACAGCCAGATGGAAATTCCATTTCATAAATATGTTTCAATATGGCATTGTTCTTGAAGAATAAGTACACTGCCAGCGTCTGTTCTTTAAAAGAATTTTAATATGCTGTACCTTATTATTTTAGCAGAGATCTAAAATTCAGTATATCTAATTTGTATCTTAAATTTAAACTTGTAAGCTTTTCTTTTATGACATTTATATATGGCATTTAAAATAAAAGTTACGTCATTCTTTTATCTCTAGTGGGATGCAAAGTAATGTGGTCTTCTCTGGTATCCATTTAAAAATGCATGAATAAAATATATTTCTTTGACCTGCAGGAAGTATACATAGTACTTTTCTCCTTGAAATTGTGCACTAATTTTTCTTCTTACATATGTACAGACATGTCCACACAGTCTGCAGGATCATAGGAGGCTCTTCTGTCCCTATTGCTGAGCTTGGAAATCAGATACTTCCTTTAAACTCTTTATCTGTCAATCCCACCCTCCTTATTCCTTACTCTACCATTGCAAATTAAAAGCTACCTTGAATTTTGTGTTATTCCTTTACAATTTTCATAACTTAGAGCAAGTTCTAGCTTTAAACAATAGTTTTTTTTTCTGTTTTAAAACCTCTTTTTTGAAAGTAGGCAGCTATACTTTATGTTCTTCAGTTATGGACTTTTTTTTCCACTATTGTTGTTGATGCAAATAGTTGTTTATTTATTGTATTTATGGTGGCCCACTTATATACATTTCTTGGTCTTTTTTCTGCTTCAGTAACTGAATATCACAGATTGGATAATTTATAAAAGTAAAATGTTGTTCAGAACACAGTTCTGGAGGCCAGAAGGTAGGGGTGACTAATTTAATGTGAGCTTTCTGGCCAGTAGGGACTCTGTAGAGGTCCAGGGTGGTGCAGGACACCAAGACAGAAAGGGGTGAATTCAAGAGATAGTCAATTTGCTTACTAGCACAGATTCATTCTTGAGAAAATCATTAATTTATTAGTCCTTAAATAAATGAGAGTAGAGATCTCATGATCCGATCATGTCAGAAGAAGTAGTAGGTCCTACCTTAATGCCTTATATAAGGAATAAACTTCAACATGAGTTTTGATAGGGACATCAAACCATAGCAATATCATTTCTATTTGCTATTAAAAATTTGCTACTAAATTAGTTTGCTATTAAAAATTAAGACTGCTATGAACATTCTTACACCTTTAAGTTGTTATACTTGTGTAATAGATTTTTTTAGGGAATATAATCTGGAGTAGACTATGTGTACCATCAGTTTTATCAAGATGAAAGATTGTTTTCCCATGTGTCTACACTGATTTACACATTCACTAACAATGATGATCTTTTTGTTAATTAATCTCATTGCTCATCTGTTGGGCAGCTACTGTATCTTATTACTTATCCTCAGTTACTAATGAGATTGAACTGTTTTCATTTGTTCATTAGCCACTAGTGTTTCCTGTTGAATAAAATACCTTTTACTCTCTTGGAATTTATCTTGTCTGTTTTTTCTTGGGTTTAAAATTTTTTTCTTAAATTATTTCTGAGAGTTCTGTTTTCCTCTATTTGAAAATATATTCACCAACAAATATATTTGTAAGTCTAAATTACTAATCTTAGCCTTTTAATTCATCTTTTCACTTTCCTCAGGATAGTTTTCTAGTAAATATTTATCATTTTTTGTTGAATTTACCAATTTTTTTTAATGTTTTACTCTTTCTGTTTTGTTTAATACATTTTTCCTAACTTGAAATTTAATAGGTAGTTTTCCTGTAATTTAAACTTTAAAACTTTTGCCTTTTATAATTATGTTCATTAATTTATTAGGGATTGAGTTTTAAACATGGTGTGTATAAAATATGTTATTTCATTCTTAAAGTTTGTATTTGCATATTAAAATGTATATTTGCATATTTTAAAAAAATGCTTATTAAAGCAATATATGGCTGTGCATGGTGCATGGCACATGTCTGCGATCCCAACACTCAGGAGGCTGAGACAAAGGATTGTGAATTCAAGGTCAGCTTAGTCTACATCATAAGTTCGAGGCCAGCCTCTATTACATAGTGCACCTTGCCTCAAACAAACAAACATGAAAAATACCAAGTATGCCTTCTATTCATGAGGCTTAGCTTTGTGTTTGTGTTCTTCTTTTTCAAGAACTGTAATTTTTACCTCTCAAGAAGGCAAAAAAAAAATTAGTTCCTGCTAACTATTTAATCTCATAATGTTATTGGCAACATTACATCAATTTAAAGAGGTTGTTATACCCTTTAAAAGGGTAGAAAATTTGAGGGTGATTTTTTTCCCCAGTTGATTAAAGACTATCATTTTCTGACATGCCAGTGTGACTTTCTAAGCAGAAGGTAAATTTTTCCATTAAACATCTATAGGGTATGACAGTGAAAAAGCTATAATTACTTTTTAAATTTCATTTTTGACAGTCATGAAATAAAGGATTTTTTAGTACATGTAGATGCTAATTTTTATATGTAAAATTTAAAAAATAAAATTGAACTTGAGTATCTGTTGTGATTTATACAGATGTATAATTGACTGATTCTCCACACCCAGGGGTCCTGCCAAAGCAAGAACCATGGCTTATTTTGGGGAAGGGAAAGGACCCATCCACATGGACAATGTGGAGTGTACAGGAAATGAGAGGTCTTTGGCTGACTGTATAAAGCAAGATATTGGGAGTCACAATTGCCGTCACAGTGAAGATGCAGGAGTTATTTGTGATTATTTTGGCAAGAAAGAGTCAGGTAACAGTCATAAAGGTAAGTCACTTTCAAGGGTACTAAAAAAATCAGAGAATACTAATCCCTTCTTTATAAGCAGTACTTTGGCCACAAAACTCTGTATGAGAATGTACACAGTCCCTTGTTCTCTGTGCTATTTAGAGCCAGGGGCTCTTGCCAAATGTGCCTATGTGAAGCTTAGGCAGAACAGAGGTCAAGAACAGAAGGGGATTCAAGAGCTTCACTTATTATTTCAAAGATCAACCCTGTTTTGCACACTTAGCCATTTCTGTATCATTCTCTCCTTGGCTATACTAAAGCTGTCAGGTTTGTTGTTAACCTTGAAGATTCAGAATTTACACCTATTTCATAAAAGGGAAAAAATGAAAATATACAAATGATTCAGTGAAAGACACTTCACTTTTGTTAATATTTAAACAAGAATAATTTTAAATGAATTTTAAGAAAAATGCCTTCTGTAGATTTTATTCTCCAAAAATAAAAAATAAAGAAAATGAGAGTATAGTATAATATTTGTAGAGTACAGTAAGTGGATGTTTACTACTTATATTTCTTGAAAGCTTCTGGGTACATTCAAATTTTATGAAATAAATACTTCTTTAAATGTATGAGTGGGAGAATTAGCCATTTTGGAGAAATCTGTGATTATGTTTTATGAAAAGAATAATCACCTCTTGATCTGAATCAAAAGTTCATAATTAGATGCACTTGAGCATTCTCTTTCTCTTTTAATACATTTTACTAACTGCTAAAAATGCAAAAAGTGAATTGGATGTTAATATGATTCTTCATATTAAAGTGACTTCTTAGTGTGAAAAGAACACTTTGTAAACCTGCTTTCCCTAAATGCTCATTACAACCTAATTTATTAAATTCCCTTGAATAATTTAAATTATACTTTTAAGTTAATATAGCTAATTCTTTGGATTATTCAAACACTTAAGTAGTTGAGAAACATAAAATTCAATTATTGCAAAATGTTTTACAATAACATGTAAAACTGTCCTAAAATATGACACATCAAAGATTTGTTTCATTACTTTTACATTTGTCTTTATACTTTCTTAGAATTATTGTACTTATTTGTAATCTTTTTCATGGTAGGTAGTGCTATCATACCTCAACAAAAAGACTTCATCTCAAACTAGCTAGGTTAAAAGAATCTGGCTTAGTAACCATGGTTTTGTGTTGAAGTTTAGGATCTGGCAATTTCTTTAAGACAATTGAATTCAAGATCATGGTTCCTGGTCATCTAATGAGCTCCTTTTAAAAGTGAACTTGATATTGCTTCTTAATTTTTTTTATAACCAAAAAAATGTTTAAACAACTTTTCATTTCTTGCAATCAGGTATTGGCCCCAGAATGAGGTAAACTTTATGTTTTGCTTGCTCAGTGTTACATCATTTCTTTTCTTGGCTCATATACATCAACCAGATTTGGAGCATTATTGGAAACTTTTGTTTTTCTAATATCTTAAAATTTGCAATATCATCTAGGAGGCTCATATCTTAAGAGATGAAGGTTAAAGTTCTGACAGCATGCCTCTGAGATCATTTGGCAAATTAATGATCTTGGTACAAATTGTTGAACTCTTTAACTATCAAGAAATAACTACTGATGATTCTCTGCTGCGCTCCCTCTCTGCCTGGTTATTGTGGGAGACCATCAGGGCTGATTAGGTCTTCGTGTTATTGGCAACACCCCCACCCCTCTCATCTTACAGGGATAGAGAACAATACATTATATTTGCATAGTTCATATATGCATACTTAGCAAAGAAACAAAGCACCCCTAAATAAATTCTATTTTATAAAATTATTTTATAAATGAGTCATGTCTTGTTATATTTGCCCTTCTATTGTGCATTACCTTTTCATAGTTTTCCCTCTGATACAAGGGACTGAACCCAGGGCCTCACACGTGCTAGACAAATGTTCTACCACTAAGCTACGTCCCTTTACCTTTCACATGTTTTTTCACATTTACCTTTTCACATGCTTTTAACTTGACTCTTCTAATTTATAAATTCTTTTTTCTCTGCGGTATTGGGAGTTGATTCCAAGATTTGAAACATGTTCAGCCAACACTCTACCAGTGAACTACATCCCCAGCACATGTTTGTACATTTTTGACACGTCTGTTATCTTGGGACACTTGACTAGGTACTCTGAAGTGCAGTTACCACTTGGCCTGGTGTCTCAAGCCTTTTCCATTTGTTAATATTCTTTTTTTTTTTTTTTTCTGGTACTGGGGTTTGAATTCAGGACCTTGTGCTTTCAAGGCAGTTGCAGCACTACTGAGCTAAATCCCTGGCCCCTAGTAGTTAATATGACTGTATACATATACAGAATTCTATTTGGGAGTGTGCCTTACTCCTTTGTGCTACATTTTTATATATGGCTTGGGGCAATGTTCTATGTAGAAAGTAAGTAATTTGGACCATTACTGCCTTTGGTGTTTTGTTTTTTTTAGTGTTCCTGAACTTTAAAACAAGCTCGCTAAGCTGCGAAGGAAGGTATAGTTACCCACATAAAACCTTTCAGAGTGGAATGATGAGAAACTGCATAAAGTTTCTCTTTTGCTTGCATATTATTATAATTTGGTTAAATCAAATTTATTTAAGAAACATTATTTCATAATTTGCAGAGAAAAGATACTTAAAAAAGCAGAAAAGGAAGTACTAAGGCAATGTGTCAGTTGTGTTTTTATCCATCCGTCACCAATATGGCAGGTGAATGAATGTACCCATTTCTGCTTCAGAGTCCCTCTCCTCTGTTTGTGGTCTGAGATTATTGCACCGTCGGCAGAAGAGGATCATTGGTGGGAAAAATTCTTTAAGGTAAAAGTTTCTTTGAAGAAGATTTTCCATGTTATAGAATAACTAATATACATACAGTGCTACAGACTTGAGATTTTTCTATTATTAAACAAGGAATTTAATTCATTTTCTTTTCTAAACCAAGTACTGATTACACTGATAACTTCATTGTCCTGTGACTTATGTTCAACTTACGTAGGCTGTGTTCCCATATCATTAACGGATGTGTTGCTCAAGTGATATGGCAGGAAACAAAATAATTCTGTAGGAAACCTGAGAACTGCATGACTGTTAATTAATTCAGAATATATTTGGTTCTTATTTGGTTCATTTTAATGTTTCTATTTGCTTATTTTGCTTATAGAAAACCAGCACTTTGTTTATTAACTACCTGTTCAGGCTACTTAGGTGAGGTAGAGGGAGGAGAGAAATTACACTCCATCATGAAATATAAAGGAGACTCAGTTTCTTTTGGGAGTACAGGCAGATAGGTGGGAGGTGTGCAAATCCCTTGAAACACATGTGCAGAGTTGGTGACAAGTGGTATGCTTAGTTTTGTAGCTCATTCTCCAAGAAGGAAGGGAGGGATGTTACATCCGAGAGTCCCTTCTGAGTTTCTCCCCCTAACCCCTAGAGGACACTAAAGTCCTTAAAACCTTTGGTTTAACTGGTGTTTCTCTTTGCCTCATTCCGTTAATGGATGTGTGGCTCACTTTCTTCTCAGGGGTGGCTGGCCTTGGCAGGTTTCCCTCCGGCTGAAGTCAGCCCATGGAGATGGCAGGCTTCTTTGTGGGGCGACGCTCCTGAGCAGCTGCTGGGTCCTGACTGCAGCACACTGTTTCAAGAGGTATGAGTCCACCTTTCCCAGTGACTTCATTTGGCCTCACCGGTTGTCCTTCCTGCTCAACAGCACTTGGGGTATCAGAGCCAGGCTAGAAGGCTCCCCTGTCTATGTGAGCAGCCCTGTGGAAGTGAAGAACAAAGAACTTTCAGGAAGCTGCTCATTATCCTGGTGTTAAATGAAACTCTGAGTCTAAAAAGAAGAAAAGATAGGTTTTTGGAGGGGAGGCAGAGGAGATGGTGCTTCCTTTAAGAGCTTTCCTGAGGCAGAATCATATCCTTGTCAAGGTGAAAGTGACTTCAGGTTATCAGGTGTGAATGCTGAGGTATTTTGGGTGTAATTTTAGTGTTATTGATGCTTCTGTCTGCTCGGTGCTTTGTGTCTCTTAGACGTCTCCATTTCCACCTTGTAGAAAGTCAGGTGGCAACTGTTTTATTTTGAGCTTCCATTAATTTAGAGCTGATTATTTTCTCTTGTCCCAAACATTTTATCAGTCTGTTCTGAAATCTTGCCAGGTAATCAGCATTGCAGAGTAGCAGATTTAAGGTAGGCAGAACTTTTCCCCTTGCCCAAGGCTCTTTTGACCTTTTGCTCTAGTTTAATGGCCATTTCCTCAGCATTAATTTTGGTATTTATTTTCAAAAATGTGTATCATCACAGTGCAAAATATTAGTAATTAGTGAAGCAAAGTTGTAAGTACAAATAGTTTTATCATACTGTCTTCATTTTATTTTGTAAAACAGTCATAATAAAAAGTATAAAAAGAATATATAGTTCTTTTATTATGAAAATATTTTAATGTTTAAATGTATCATTTTTTTCTCTTTAAAGTTTCTAAAAGCTTTACATATCTTATTTTAAAAATCTTTCCCTTGCCCCATACATGAAAGATACACTCTTACTCTCTAAAAAGTACAGTTTTGCTTATTATACATTTCAATCTGTTTATAGTTTATTTTTGTGTATGGCACATAGTGTGAAGGAGGGACCTATTTTTTTTTTTTAATTGAGTTTATTGGTACATTTTAGGTTTACAGCACAGTTACATTCATTGTTGGGATCTTGTACCTTTACATGACAGGTCTTGGTTCTCATTTTTTCCCCTTGTCCGTGCCCTCCCTTCACTCCCTCCTCCCCTCCCCATTTACAAACACTTTATTTCCATCTCCTCATTTTCTTACATTTTTTTCTTTTCGCTTATTACCTTTCGCCTACCCATCCCACCTTCCCTACACCTTTAGCCCTTTTCTTCCCATTTCACAATGTCAGTTATCTCATTAGGAAGTTTTATACTCTTCTTTACCCATTGATTTATGTTAACCACGTCATATAACAAATTCTTATATATCCTTGTTTCTAGGCTCTCTCTCTTCTCCTACTTATTTATTTCAACTAATATTTGTGGAGGAATTTTCTATGTTCAAAGTGCTCCAGCAGATACAAATCTACATTTTATATAATGTTTGCCATTTTTAGAATATAATTGAATTTGAGAACTCACTTAAATATCATATTTAATGTATTACTGTGTTACATGAGTAGTGAAACAATCAAGATTATATTCATTCATTCATTTAATTTTATTAGCCCCTGATATTCTCAGGCATATGCTATGCACTAGTCATATAGTAGAAAACAAGACAGGTAAGATCCTTGCTATCACAGTTTGTGGAATAGTTATGCATCTCCAGAGGAGAGACACACTGACTTTGCTGACATAACCCAAAAGAGTTTAGGGCACCATCTTTAAAATGTGTTTATTTTTACTACAATATTAGATTTAGTTAGCTTGTTAAAAACTCACTTTCCTGGGTCCTACTCGTATTTACTAAAGCTTTGGCACTAAGACTTAGAAGTTGGCATTTTTATCAGCCATCTTAGGTGATTTTTTTGGGGGGGGCTACAAAGATTAAGAACTACTTACTTAAGGGCAAGGGATTTAGCTCAGTGGCACTGCACCTGCCTCACAAGCACAAGGTCCTTAGTTCGATCCCCAGTATGGGGGGAGAGGAGGAAGGAACTAGTTACTTACTGGGTAGAATAGAACATGATCTGAGTGTGTGAAGAAGAATATAATGGAGCTGACAGACATGTACCCTTATCTTTTTCACCATATAAATTGCTAAGCTGAAAAAAGACCCCAATGGTTAAGTTAATGATAGTTTTGGATGCCAGAAGACTAGGAAAGACTAGTATTGTATAATATATTTGAAGGCAGGATTATGATGGTGAAAAATCTTGATGAACTGATTCTAATAAGTAATATGAAATATGAAGTAAAAAGCTGCCCCAAATTCCAGGAAATTTGGCATAAATACAAGTGAAAAACCTCATAGGATTAGTGTCCTGCAACTTTACTATGTGTCAGCAATGTAATTCGGTTGCCCACAACGTTAATTCAGTTTTGGACAGCACTGACAGCACAGTGTCGAAAGCAGTGAAAAGCCTTGCTATTCTGTTCACTGTGCTCAAGCTACTGCTAATGGGGAAAAAAAGCACTGTTTCTGTCAGAAGGAACTGTGGTCAATTCTGAGTGCCACAACTTGAAAAACATGCAGGGCCACCTAACAGAGTGGGGGGATGGTGTGAGCTCAGATTAGGTTTGTTGGTGGTGATTTCAAATACCACAGATAGCAAAAGGATATAGTTTTGCAGAGGGAGAAAGTTTTTTGCAGCTGCATTTTATTTCTTTAATACTACTACCGTTCAAAGATGGAATGAACTACGTGTGCTGTTTTGGAGTCTGTGTAAGCAGAGCGAGGCCTGACACATGTAGAAGTAGAGCTATAGCCAATATTTAGGGAACAGTGTAGAGAAGGCATATGCCATCCTGAAGCAAGGCACAGTGTAGCATTGGTATTATTGGCTAGGTTATCAGATCTGGGGTTTGTATAGTGACTTAGACGAGAGAAATAGGGAAGGCCTGGAGAGACAGAGTTGTGAATTTTTTTTTGATTCACCAGGCAGTGGGACCACTGAAAATTTCTGAGCCTTGAAATCTGATCAAAAAGGCATTTTTGGAGATGAGTTATTTGGAGATGTATAAGACACACTCGAGGGCATGACATTTATTTCACTTAAGAGTATGGTCTCATTGTGCATCCATTTATCTATAAATATCTCTAATTTATCATTCTTTATGGCTGAGTAGTACTCCATTTTGTAAAAAAAACCCAACAACACACATCTTATCCAGTCACCAGTTGATGGACATTTGGGCTGTTTCCAAGATTTAGCTATTACAAACTGTGCCACTATAAACATGGGTGCATATATGTCACTGTGGTAGGTTTAATTTTGTTGAAATTATCCATAACTGGAGCCTCCATTTACCTATTGTAAAATAAAAATAATAATGTTCCAGGAAGAAGCAAATGATTTGTAAGTTATTATGAAAGTATTTTATGAGCTGTTATTATAGTGGGGTTCAGAGGCCAGAAAATGTAGGGAATTGTGGCTTTTACTAGAGGAGAATAAGGTAGAAAACTGCAGAGAATGGGAATTCTACTTTGAGGTTTGGAATGTATGCAAAGTGATTTGGTATTTTAATTAGTATATTCCTCTTATTCAATATTTCTTATCTTTCCAATCTTAACTAAAGGGTATGGTCTTATGGTTTAAGGCTTAAAATATATAAAGTAGGAAGACTGATAAAAAAAATTGTACTTGAAGTTGAAAACTTCATTTGGACTATTGAACTCCCTGGAAAGTATTTTTTGAGGGGTAATAATGTTGAATTTATTTGTTACATGTCATTATCCCTCCCTTGGCCTACTAGTAGGTGATTGCTTAAAGTCAGTAATTTTCTCTCTGTGTGCACAGTCCAAGTGTCTAATATATTTCTGGGCACATAATAGATGCTCTAATGATTGTTGCATGATGAAAGTGGGGGCTCAGTTGACAGATGGTGGATATATTTGAATGTTGGGCTTTTTGGAGGATGATAGTTATTTTAAATCTTGACTAACACATAACTCCTTCCATATGTCATCTGGGATTTCTTCCCATTATTTGCACAGTATAAGATAAAGACAGTTGATTAAAAAGCAGAGGAACAATTTATGATACGCACCATTTTCATATGCTTTGGCTGTAATACAGATTCTAATGTGAGTAGGGAGAAAACTACTTCGTGAATATATTATATGTCCATTTGACTTGGTGTGGAAGCTTTTCTGTATTTCATCGACTTCTGCTTTGAAGTGCCTAAGGAGACTCAAACTCTCATCTTTTTTTTTTTTTTTTTGGTATTGGGGATTGAGCTTGGGTCCTTGCGCTTGCAAGGCAGGCCACTGAACCGCTGAGCTAAATCACTGTAACAAAACTCTCATCTTTATTGAAGTAATTCATTAAAAGTTATAGAGCCAGTTACTAGTGGTTAGAACAAAGTCCAAAATTTGTTTTTCCAGAGTAAGTGACTTAGGCTTAAAACCATTCTCCTTTAATCCGAGAAACACAAATTTTCAAAAGTAAACTATAGTTTAGAAGCAAAGTAGTCAGGTTCTAAGACATTACTGTATTTTTAGATTGGGGGGATTGAAAGATATATTAGTCTAAGTTTAGATCTATTGGTAGAGGACTTGATTTCATATTTGAAATGAACTTTCCTACTTCTTTTTCCAATTTGTGATCCTTGTGCCTTGTCAGCTACTGGACCTTTATATACAGAAAGGTTTCTCTTTCATTAGGCCTTATTTGGTGGCTACTTGCAGAGATGATATGAGCCAGTGCTCTTGAGCAGGCATTTCTGAACAATAAAATGTAAATTGTTATTACCATCTTTATTACTTTATTATTTCAAGAGTTTCTTGTTTTACATTTACAAAATAATTACTATTTTATCTAATCCTCATATCAGAATAGTCTAAGGATGATGAGACTATCACTCTTTGCTCTCATCCTAAGGATATTAAAATGTCATTATTTCAGATCCATCAGTGTCAGTTTGAATCACTTCATATATGAAATATATGGATACTTTATGGATACTGTGCTGACAGACTGGCAGAATTCTGGTAATCTAACTCTTATTCTCTCACAGCTTTCATATATTAGGAGATGTTCAAAACATACTTGTTGCATGTCAGTGCAACAAGAGTAACTCAAATAGTTGGCAAATCACTAATAGTTTTGTATCTCATTTATTTCACATTTTTCCTAGTGCTAAAGCAGTACAGATTTTGTAAGGTAATATACTGTTCAAAGTTTGAAGTGGAAACATTGATAAATTGTTTTATTGCAATTGTTTTGTGACTCTTTCACAATATAAACTGCTCCTTTTTCTAGTACTTTGTCATTTTTACAAGGTGCAATGAAATGACCTGTATCTATCATGATATAGCAATATAATTGAGAGAAAACTTCCTGAATATTAAACTAATTCCTTTTAATTGCTTATTCTGATAAAAACACAATGTTGGAGAAATGAATGTACCTGAAACAAAGACTCTCTTATTTCTTTAATTCTACTCCAAATTTGATTTGCTCAAGAAAATGACTTTATCTGATTTTATCTTTTTGACTTTTTGCCATATCAGCTGGACATTCTGAGATTATTACTCTGAAAATTAGAAATATATAGATCTTTGTAATTAGAAAGGTGAGCCACAGAGGTAACGAGACTTACTTTTTCAGCACAGTGTTTCAGGTGCTGACATATGTTCCATCATGAGCACTTGTATGGTAGCCGGTAGTGCAGAGCTTTTAGATAGTGACATTTGCTGATATTCATAATACCATCAATTATGCTAAAACTATTTCCTGTGTACACACACCTATATATGACAGTGTAAGATTCTGAGGTTAGTTCTAAACAATTGGAATCACTTACACAAGCAACTTCAGTAAACTACTTTTTGAGTTATATCCAGATAAGAGAAAAACAGATTCTAGTATTAACAGATGCACATAAACTGATGTAAAATATTGTTTTCATGTAGAAATGATTCCTAAAACCTGAACTAATTCTTCAATTTTTAGTTCTGCTGATGTTTTTTGGTACCGGGGATCCAACTAGGGTCCTTGTGCTTGCGAGGTAGGCAGTGGAACCACTGAGCTAAATCCCCAGCCCTCTGGTGATTTTTGTTGTTGTTGTTGTTGTTTATCTTGACCCTGGAGCCCCTTTTAGATTTTACTAGACTTTCTACATCTCATATCCTTTCCTGTTCAAGCTTGTCGGTGAATTTCATCCAATTTTTATTTGAGGGGGAGTTGAAGGCATTTCAACAAAGCAAACAACTAAATGATATGTCAGCCAAAACTGAAATGCTTACTTTAGAAGCCTTTTAATGTAACAAACAAAGTCTATCAAAATAACAAAAGTTCAACTAGAAAGACCTTAAAATGAATGGGAAAAGAGGATTTCTTTATGTTTTCTTGAGAAGGTTAGAGACATAAACATTTTGAAGTCCACAAATATATTAGGAACGTCAGCCAAGTTTTTTATTCCTGATGTATTTAATTCTCACCACTCTGACAGACTTGTGTCAAATGCTCTCCAAATTGCAAGCATAGAATCTATTCTAAGAAAAATTGGTAGTAAATAAGTGGAACACCCTGCTTAGGTTTATATGATCCATTTACTTAACTTAGAACAACTTTAAACACATGGGCACTAAGAACTTCATTTTTACAAGATTGGTGCGACTTCCCTTTTTATTAAGATACATTTTTTCCCCTCAGATTACTATTAACTCTTGATTGGTTATGATATTGCTTCTGAGTGACATCTGCTTAAATTTACTTATCTAAGAACACAGTGGATATATGGAATGTATATGATTTTTAAATTTTTAATTCTTACATATATTATATGTTTGCAGTACATGATGATTATTCGTCATGGGGAGTTGGTACATGTATATAATACATCTTAATTCTTTTTATGTCCCCTTCCCCTATCCTCCCTCCATTTCTTGACACCCTTTGTATATGCTTTTTGCATTTTGATATCTATGTGTACTTTCTAGGATGCTTACTTTTCCCATTGAAATTTTGGACATGCACAAGCAGGGTTTATGATTACGCCTTTAAGAGTTTTTGGTTCAGTGGTGGTTCAGCCTGTGAATTTGAATTACTTCTGGTTCTACATCAGCCTTGTTAATTTACATGCTCAGAGATAGTGAGGCTTGGATTTTCTTATGTTTGAAAGTAGTACAGATGATTCTGATGAACAGCCACTATGATGAATATTAATTTTTGTGGGGATTTATTTTTGAAATAGAAACTTGCAATAGTTTTCTTATAATATGGGAATTGGCAACATGTCTCTTTGATTTCAATGTTAAGGATGAAAGTATAAGTATGTGGACACGGATGCTTTTCAAAATAAGTCACTTAACATATTTATTAAGAGCCTTCTAATAAGAATAATTTTCAATGCATCTTTAAAAATGCTGCTGAAATGTTGCATATAGTTTGGGGATGGAATTTACGAAATCATTTACACCTGCACTGCAAAACAGTAGTCATTAGCTGCATATGGCTACTGAAGCAATTGAAGTATGGTTAATTAGAATAGAGCTGTACTAGGGGTGGGGATTTAGCTCAGCGGTTCGTCGGCCTGCCTTGCAAGCACAAGGACCTGAGTTTGATCCCTGGAACCAAAAAACAAACAAACAAATAAAGAATTGAGCTGTACAAAGCATAGACAGTATTTTTAATAGTGTAGAAAAGAATACTAAATATATTTTCTCTACACCATATATTAAATATCAATAACTTTCATATTAATTACATTTTGCAATGTTTTGTTTTAAATATCCAAATATAATGGTATTAAAGTGTATTGAAATTTTACAACATATTCACAATATTAGTACACACAAAAAATGAGAGATTTACTTAGACACCAACTTAGTCTCCATAACTATTACTTTTTAGTTTCAGGATGTGAAATAATGCATTAATGAACTAATCTTTATTTCAGTTTTGAAGTGGAATCTATGATATATTCTCTAGGCACAATATAAGCCTTTAAACTTGAAAAATACTTGATTTAAGGTTAATAATGGAGTCTCAAAGCATCACAAAAATTACTAAAATTTATAGATTAATAATAGATGGCTGCATAAGCTAATAAATGGCTTTGCTTTTTAGTTTTTTGAGCTGACATGGTGAAGAAAATTATGAATATGATAGGATCAGAGCCTTGCTTGGGGCTATTAGAACCCTTGAACATTTCATACTTGGGCGGTTACATTGCAAATAAGCAATCACTAGAAAATTCAAAGTTTTTAAATCCAGTTTCTTTAAAGTCACATTAAGCAGTGGGTGACTCTCAAGTTTCGGTCAAAAAATTAAGAGTTGTTAAATGTATATTTTCACCTTCAACAATCAGTACAGTATGTGGATAGTTGAAACCAAGGTTAACGGTTTTGGCAGGCAAGAAAAGTTCTACAAAAAGTGATTGTGGTCATGGACAGTGGAGTCCAAACCAGATAAAAGGGAACCTCATAAGCAGAATAAGACTGAAATAGAAAACTAGAGAGGTCAAATGACTGAATTTCAGTGGAGTTGAAGGATTGCAAAGCTATAAAAACAAGAGTAGGGTGGGACAGTAAAGATTTACAGTACCTATATTAATCTTGCTGTTAATCACCAATTTTCAGTGTCTGAATCAAGCCTCTCATTAGTTCTGTCTGTCTCCCAGGTATGGTAACAGCAGTAGAAACTATGTTATCCGGGTTGGAGATTATCATACTTTGGTGCCAGAGGAGTTTGAAGAAGAGATTGGAGTTCAACAGATTGTGATTCACCGGGAGTATCTCCCAGTCAGTAATGACTATGACATTGCCCTAGTTAAATTACAAGGCCTGGAGGAGCAATGTGCCAGATTCAGCAGCCATGTTTTGCCAGCCTGTTTACCACTCCGCAGAGAGAAGCCACAGAAGACAGCCTCCAATTGTTACATAACAGGGTGGGGAGACACAGGTAATATAACACAGAAATGAATGAGGAAAACTGGACATGTTCTGTGTCTGGTATCACACAATTCAAATGTATAATGGACAGTAAGATCTTTAAATGGGTTCAGGCTTAGTTGTTTGTAAATTATGTCAGGTATGAAATGCATATGTACAATCCAGATTCATATCCTGAAGGTACTACTGGTGGATCTAATTCAGATTTTAGCACAGAACTCAATTGCCAGTGGAATCTAGGAGTATAGAGTATTCTAACTTTTGGTTCTTCAGACCCTTGAGAGGCCAGGAAGATTTTAAAATTCTACCCCATGAAGGCCTGGCACTCTATAATTTTAAAGTTTTTTCAGATGCCTTTGATGTAGTATCAAAAAAAATTTTTTTTTTTTTTTTTTTTTTTTTTTTTGCCATGGAGTCCTTATCGAGCTAAATTTAATGGAGAGTTCTCAAATATACAATAGACAAGAGCCACTGAGGTGGAAGCTAAGGTTGAAGAGAAACCCAGTCAAGTTTTTCCAGTGTGCTTTCCCAGTCTTGCCACTTGTAACCCATAAGCATGAGCAGTGTTTAGCTTCTTTTCAGGCAAATATAGTTCTTTGAATTGTCTTGTAGAGTTAAATCAATTAGCGGATTCTTGCACAGGATGAAACTTGAAATCATAGTTTGGCTGCTTTCCACCAAAAAGAATTACAAGTATAGTTTTTAAGTGTCAAATTATTCCTACAGGTGATAAAAATAAGGTTTTCATGTTTATTTTATCCCACGTTACACTCAAGCTGATTTTATAGAACATATATAGCAATTATAGAATACTAAGAAAACATTGGGAATTTCCTCAAATAAACTGGGGGGGGGCATTTCTTGAAGAAACTTAATAAAATCCAGTCAAGGTACATCAAGCCAGAAGGCTAAAGTCTTCTAGAATTATGAACTATGTCACTTTCCTTTGGACAGCACATCTAAATAGAAATAACCAATGAAGTAAATTTTGTAGACTTTTTGGTCTACTTTGTCCAATTTAATAGATACAAAAATATGATGGAATCTGTACCCCCCCAAGGTTATTATGAAGGACATTATCTGTACATTCTACCCACTGAATTAAGTCATGGCTTACCAGGAAGTAGTGCCTTCATAGCAGTTGGTGAAACTTAAGTGTGTTTATACACGGAAAAGTATTGCTTGACAGCTTTGCCATCTTATGTACTTACCTGTAATTACCATCCATATTTAATCCTCAAATTGAAAAGTAGATGGTTGGTTCTCAAATGGATGTGCTGATGCACAAGCAGCATGAATATATTTTTAGCTTTTTCAAATTTTGCTTTTTGGGGGAGGGGATGCCAGGGATTGAATTTAGGGCATTGCGCATGCTAGGCAACCACTTTGCCACTCAGCTGTATCCCCAGCCTATTTTTAGGTTTTTAATATATGTAATTAAAATACTAAAGCCAACACAAATGTACTTATTTTAGATTACCTTTTCTTTATAGCCAAGTCCATGTTATTCATTAACCCCCCCAAAATTCAGCATTAATAAAACAAATTTGAAAAAGATGTGCCAATAATTGAAGTACACCTAAGGATTTTGTTTCCAAGACTATTAAATGTTCATCTAAATGTTAAATGTTGATTCTAAACTGGAATCTCATCAACTAATTTACATATTTGGTCTGAGTAGGACGAGCATATTCAAGAACACTACAACAAGCAGCCATCCCCTTACTTCCCAAGAGAATTTGTGAAGAACGCTATAAAGGAAGGTTTACTGGGAGAATGCTGTGTGCTGGAAACCTCCAGGAACACAAACGTATGGACAGCTGCCAGGGAGACAGTGGAGGACCACTCATGTGTGAACGACCTGGAGAGACCTGGGTTGTGTATGGGGTAACTTCCTGGGGATATGGCTGTGGAGCCAAGGACTCTCCTGGTGTTTATACCAAAGTCTCAGCCTTTGTACCTTGGATAAAAAGTGTCACCAAATTGTAACTCACACAAACTTCAACAGTAAATATTTGAAGAATTGATGGAAACTATTAGCTCCAGTATTAGAACTACGTAACTATGGGAAACAGAGACCCATGTTTCAACTTTTTTAATATATAAATTGTGTAGTCCTTGCTACCTTTGTGATATGAATACTTTTGGTTAGATACCTCAGAGTATTATCTTTAATTGCATTGTACTCTGATTTAAATTACTGGGGAATTTTTTTCTTTTTTTTCAGCATTCTCCATTTTTTGACTTTGTAATAAGGCTGTTTCCATTTGTTTGGATTGAGAACAGCCTATAATTGAACCAATATGGGGTATGGATTTGTAGGGAGAATCCATAAAGGGTAACTTTATGCCTCCAAATGTGGCATTAGTGTATTTTTTATGTTCAATTCTTTTCAAAAAGTTATCTTCACCTATTACCTGTGGCCTTTGTCAAATGAGCAAATCGATGGCCCCATAAGGAATTCGTAACAATTTCTAAGGTGGAATAGGATCATGAAATCACATTCACCTGTTACAATGTATTTCCCAATGAAGTCACCTATTATTTCCAAGAATCCTTGTTAATACTAAAAAAATTTAAGTGTAAGAGGAAAAATGTCCACAGCTATTAAAAATTGGATTTAACATGAAGTTACTAGTTGAATATACAATCATCAGGCATATTAACCTGTCATAATAAGCTTTGACAACCACTTGAAATTCACAACTTAGTAGGCAGAACAAAATATTACCGTTAGCACTGTCATTTTCAGATTATGATGGGAGAGAGCCATCTACTGGAACTTTCCAGGAATTGACATACCCGTGGAGTTAAGACAAACGGCAAGATTCAATTCCTTAAAAAGGTTGGAGATATAGCTGGGCAGAGCACTTGTGCCTCAGCACCACCGAAACAAAGTTAAAATGCTTTCTCTTGTGTTTGTAATGGTAAATGTAGGGTATTCTTGATAGCAAAAGCAAAATCATTTTCCAAATAAAAGGCACATACCATTAAGATACCAATACTCCTAGATAAAGGAAGTGTTTCATGTCATGGACACTTACTCTGAATTCCCAGTTTAAAAAATGTTGAATAAGAGGTTAGCATGAACTTTAGTATGGTTGTAAATAACTCTTATTAAAAATTTTCTCTTGCATTGAAGCATGCCCCTTTTGTAAATCCTACTTTCCAAAAACTGGTGCAAACCTGTAAGTGCTTTATAGTTTTATTATTTTAGATGTGAAATTTGTGTCAATCACGCATTAAAAATTTACTAAGAGTCCATCATTTCAATTTTAAAAAACAAAGCAGCATTCACATTTAGAGATATATAGCTGCTCAAGGGCCTGAGAAAAATGTGTAATACAGGTGAAAAAATATCATTACAGAAAACTTTAATAGCTGCCTTTGTAATTAAACTACTGCTGATAAAAACATTCATACAGATGTTTTAAATATACCAGGGATCTGCAAATCTAAATGTAGGAAAGGAGTGGCCTGAATTTATAAGCAGAATACATTATTTGTAACTACGTGACCAATTTTGTCTTAAATGTCTCTTGAAGATACAAGTTTTCAGTACATATTTAAGTAAATAAAGCACATCAATTCTTATTTTGTATTGTCTTAATTTTGGGGTAGTGTGAGAACACTGCTCCCTTGGGTAATTTTTATGTGCAACTTTCTCAAACTATTCATGTTATCTTTACACAATCTAACCGTGGACAGGAAGTATTTTTACTTTTTCTCCATTTATTGTTTAAAGAACAGCATATCCATGCCCACAAATCAAGCATTTTATTCAATTATATCAAGGAAGTACCGTAAATGCTAATTTAAGCAATTTAGACATGTATTGAAAATACTGCCCCAGGAGTTTCCGTATTATTCAAAATGCCCATTTCCCCACTAAAATTTAAGTTTGGTGACCCACTGCAACATGCCGCATAAGACTTCACCCGTTAGGACTTTGTAGTTCTTGATCATCTGTAAGAAAAGAAAACCAGCATTAGAATATCAGATCTGTGTACTTACCTCATCACTGCGATCTTGGCAAATGATATACTTTCTATTCAGTTGGTTCTAAAAGTCCAGTTATAAAAAGCCAGTCTAGCAGGGCGTTAGACTACTCGATAGCACTTATAAAAAGGAAAGGGAACGTACCTTGCTGTATTTTCCGTTACTCATCAACAGTTAAGTTCTGCTTCCTAGAAACATTTGAACACTCATTAGAAAAGACTGCCCGATAACTTGGTCTCCTCCAGGTTTTAGAGTTAAGAATGTTACTTGTGCAAGTCAGAATCTGATACCAATTAAATGGTGACAGCTTTGCCAATAAACAAGAATATGCTCTTCCATGGCTAGGAAGGGAGACTGCCACGGCTGACAGGTCCCAAAGACACATGGAGATTCAGAGTCCAGAGATCAAAAAGCAGGCCCAACTCCCAGTGATATTACTCACCATGTGCATCAAATTGTGGCGGTTCTCAGGCTGCTCTGGCGCCAAATACAGAGCAGACTCAAAATGGGCACATGACCCCGCTGCAGAAATGCTGATCTTCCGCCTGGGTGTTACCCGGAGCACAGACCTCGGCCTGGACTGACGCACGCGCTGTCAGGGTCCAGGGTTGCGCGTGGTCGTCATGGAACCTAATGAATGCCTAAGTCCTTTAGGTTCCTCGAATCTAAAGCCTTTTAAAGTTGACCGCCTCCTACCGTTAAAGCAAGAATCTCGACCCGCCTGCATTTTAACTGCGCCAATAAGTCCTGACAAAATTATCATTTTAGGCCAAAACACGATTACTCAGCCGTCGCTTTCCGTAAGGAAAAGGCTTAATCTTCCGGCGCGCATTCTTTTATACAGCCGCTGACGCGCTTCCTGGGGAAGCGCCGCGAGGGGCGGGACCTTCCCCTCTGCTCGCTCCGCCCCCTCCTCCCAGCCTCGCCCCCGATTTCGGTCATCTTCTCCTGAGGTTCAGCCCCTCTCCAGGCGCTTCGCTTTGGCTCCCCCGCCCATCGTCTAGGATTGATTACCCGGATGCGGGCTAGACGCAGGCGCACACAGAAGAACGAAACTTCCAAGGGAGGCGGTAGAATTCTGTGGGCGTCGAGCGGGAGCTGACTCAATTTAGTAGAAAGATTATATTCTGTTTAGAGTCGTTGTTTTAGAAGTCATTATTGCCGCGGAGTGACTAACTTCGGCATTTAACCTTGTGGTAGGTTAATTTCTATAAAGTTGGCTTTTTTTTTTTTTTTGGTCCTTCTGCCTGTGAACTCTCATGCTATTCGTGCCCTTCATCGTCCCCTGGAATTGCTGGTAGCTCCTGAAGGGCCAGTGTCAGTGGCTTCTCAGATTTCTTTTTCCCCTGATTTCTTAAGGCAATTGGTATACCAATACTGACAGGCTCAGATTTCCTAAAGAGAAGTAAGAAAAAGTATTGCGCCGAGCGCAAGGTGGCGCATACCTGTAATCCCGTCCACCTGGGAGGCCGAGAAAGGAGGGTGACAAATTCGGAACTCAGCCTGGGCGATTTAGCGATGTATGGAGACCTTGTCTGAAATTAAAAAATGAAAAGAAGCTGGGTGATAGCTGAGTGCCCTGGATTCATTAGCTAGAAGATTAAAAAAAAAAAAAGGATGACTAAAATCCTAATTGGCGTAGAGGAGCTGTGCTTACAGGTGTCTCTTGTCTGCCCTAGTATAGTATTTGGCCACTTTTTTGAGCTCTAACTTCTGTGAGCTGAGTGCCTGGATCTTAATTCCCTGCTGTACGTTTCATTGAGGATACAATTGAAAGGTAGAGCCACTGCCAGTGGTATAATGGAGGTCGACAAAAGCTTCGTGAGGTCTGTACGTTTTTGGGGAAAAAATTTAATGAGATTAAAGATTGCTCAATGGTAAGGATCAGAGTGGACAAAGTTATAGGAAATATATTGTAATTTGAAGTAACTAGAACTGTTTCCAAGGCTGACCATATTTCACCCTTTCGTACTTTCTCTCACCTCATCGTACTTTATTCATCTCAGTAATGAACCTAAAAACTACTAACAAGGCTTAAATACTGAATCACAGAAGGGAGTGTTGTCAAATAAATAGCCACCTGTATTAGTTCCTTAGGGTTCCTTTAACAAAATGCCATGCCTAAACAACAGAAACCTACTTGGTTACAATCTTGGGGGCTGGAAATCTGAGATCAAGGTGTCAACTGTTGTTTCTTCAGAGGCCTTTCTCCTTGGCATGTAGATGAATGGTAGTCTTTTTTTTCTGTCTTAACATGGTTTTTCTTAGGTACCTGTCTGCGTCAATCACTTGTTTTTTCTTTGTTTGCTGTTTGCAGAGATTGGGACATAATCCAGAGCCTCCTCACAAGTGCTAGAGGAGCACTCCACTGTATCCCCATCCTTAAAAGGGTTCTATTCATATTTAATGAGAGCCCACTGTAATAACCTTTTAACCTTATCTCTTTAGGGATCCTATCTCCAGATGCAGTCATATTCAGAGGCAGTGAGTTTTAGGTCTTCAAAACCCATGGAATCTGGGGCTTCCTGCATGCTAGCCAAGTGCTCACCACAGAGCTACACTCCCAGCCTGGTCTATGAATTTTTATATTTTCTTGCCATGTAGCCCAGGCTAGTCATGAATTTATAATCTTCTTGCCTTACCTTCTAGAATAGCTGGGATTACAGGTGTATCTCACCATGCCTGATTTACTGAAGATTTTAAATGAATGCTTCCATTGTGTTAAAGGTTAAAATTTGTAGTCACCCATGTCCTGGCTTTTTACTGGATTTTTGTGTTTTGTCTGAACCTAAATTTAAAAAAAAAAAAAATTGCCATTTCTACCCCCATATTTTGTTTTTCCATCTTTTATGCCTTCCCATTTATTTTTATCTCTCAAATGTCTATTCAGCTTTTAGTGCTTTGCTTAAATATTGTTTGTGTTTTGCTTGTCTTGTGAAAACATTTATTACTCCAAACTACTATTTTTTCTTTTATTGACATGCAATAGTACTTTTCTTATGGTCATTATTATAAACCCTTGTGGTGAAGGGCAGCATCTAACTCCTTCCCACCTCCCTCTCTCCCTCCCTCCCTCCCTCTCTCTTTCTTGATGAGGATTAAGTCCAGAGCCTTAGCACAGTGCTACATCCTCAGCCCTTTTCTTATTTTTTTATTTGGCGAAGGGTCTCACTAAGTTGCTAAGTTGCCCAGGCTGGGCTGGAACCTACCTCAGCTTCCAAGAATGTTGGGACTGCATGGTGTGCCACCATGCCTGGCTTATGACTGATTATCTGAAGTGCCTAGAAGAATGACTTGTGTTAAATGAGTACTCAGTTACATTACTGAATGCCTCAATAGGTATTTTTGAAGTTGAAAAAGTTATATTTCTATTTTAAAAAGTCATTTTTCTGCAGCAAATGGAGTTAACGTCAGTGTGACTGGTGTTTAGTAACTTGCTTTAAAAAGTAGATTAAGGAAAAGAGGGAAGATAATAACTTTACAGTGGAGAAAAGTGATAAACACTACATAGTCCAGGTAATCAGGGATAAGTCATGGTGATAGTGTAGTGTGACATAATGAAAACGATACTACCTCTTTCTGTATTATTTTTCTGAAAGCCCATACTCCAGTTTAATCATAAGGAAAAAAAAATCAGCCAAAAGTAGATGGACATATTACAAATTACCTGTCCAGTACTCAACACTGTTGTGGTAGCAAAAAGCAAGAAAAGTAGAGAACTGTCACACCAAAGATGACTAAGGGTGAGGTGGTATCCTGCTTGAGATCCTTAAGAAGAAAAATTAAATTAATAGCTAGTGAAATCTGAGTGAAGTGTGGAATTTAGTTGAAAGCAATTTGGAAAAGTAGATATTATCTCAACTTTGTATAGTTATTACTGAAGACCTGTGAAACATTACTAGAAACCTATGCTGTAGGTTCCATTCTCCTACTTGGTGTATGACATAGGCCTGGAGGTGGGGAGGGACAAACTGAAAGATAGAACCAAGACGGAAAGCTGGGCTCCAGGATGACCAAGGTTGGTATAACAGACAAAGGTGCTGGCCAGATTAAGCCACTGATTTTTACTGCTAATTAATTTGAGTAAAGGTGAGCTGTGTGTAAAGGCAAGACCGTGTGAGAAAATGTGTAGTTCTCTGGTTTTTATGGAAATTAATGGAGACAAGGCTTGTAAAAAAAAAAAGACAAAGCATTTTATTTATTTTATTTTATTTTGTTTTTTTGAGATAGGGCCTCACTATGTAGTTGAGACTGACCTGGAACTCACTATGTAGTCCAGGCTCAAATTCATAGCCATCCTCCTACCTCAGCCTCTTGAGTGCTGGGATTATAAGTGTGAGCTGCCACCACACTCAGTGACAAAGCATTTTAGATAGGAACAGGGTAAACAATATATATGGTTGTAATTAGAACATTGTTTTTTAGTTAATGTTTTAGTTTTGGGAATGGAATTTGGGTGTGCATTACTTTGATGTTGGCACCCAGGCTTTGGCTGGACTTTTTTTTTGGTACTTTTTTTTTTTTTTTTGATCAAACTCAGGTCCTTGTGCTTGCAAGGCAGGCGGCAGAACCACTGAGCTAAATCCCTGGCCCTGGATTTATTTTTTAAAACAATCCAATTGTGAGGATAATTTATACCCTACACTACTTACAGCCTGCTTTGAGCATAATTATTATTGTAGTCTCCCACAGTTATGACAGATATACCATGATATTATAAGTTACTTAAAAAGGAGAAATTGGATGAAGTGACCATTTTTTAAGCATTCTTATAGATATAAAACTTTTGAAATGAGTTTAAAAGAGCAATTATAATTTTGTAGTCTGTTATACTCACATTTTAAGACAAGTGTACATTATTGATGGTTCCTATCTACTGTTGTGAAATTTGTGGCTGAGATGACAGTATTTCTAAATCTGTAGAGATCTGAGATCAAACCCAGTGAATTTAGTCATACTTAAGACAAGATTTTGAGTCTTAGAATACTCAAGAGGGACAGTGTGGTACTAGAAGAGTTAAAAATCAATTGTAAATCATGACCAAAGATTTTAAAGGTCAAATGAAAGGTGAAGCTTTTAGAACTGATGAAACTTACTGGGTAGTATTTCAGTTATTTAGTATTTCAACTCTTCAGTACATGGACTGAACAGTTTATTGTAGAATATTGTCTTTGTTTATTTGTTGTAAGACAGGGACTCTCACTATGTAACCCTGGCTGGGCTTGAACTTCCTACCCTCCTTAATCTTCCAAGTACTCTGTTTTGCATTTCCTTTTCCCTTTTCTGATTTTAGTATGGAAATTGGTAATCATCAGAAAAATTTACATATAATTATATCTCTCTCCCATGAAGGCTGAAATGAATGGGAGAAAGTGAAGTCAGGAAATAGCATGTGGATTTATTTTAATCTGAAAATACACTTAAGGAAATTGTTAAAATAGACTAAACTTTTAGTTGTGTGCTTGCCATATGTTGCTGCTGCTAAGAAAATTGTATTTTACAGTGATATTGAAAGTACAGTGTCTGGAAGAGAGGAGATATGAATGCTCTTCTGTCTGTACTGGAATATTTTGAGTTCTAAACACACTGTTCACTTAAATATTTACTAGACTACAGCAAATGATTATTGTACAGACATAACCCTTGTCTCAAGACTTCTCTATAGAATTGGGTAAAGTTAGTGATATCACAATTCTTCTTAATTATTCTAAATTCAAAACAATTAAATTTAATTTCTTCCTATCCTGTATTTTTAACATTTAGTGTATTTTTGTATTACCCAATATATTAGTTATCTGGTTTTGTAAATAAAATTAGCCTAAAGCCTAGGGGCTTTAAAC